ACCCTTGAGTCAGGCCTCTAGTGCCTCCTCAAACCTTCCTCCTGCTAACTTTTGTGCACCAGACACAACTACCAACTCCTCCTGACTTCCTGGGCCCCTTTCCTGGGGGCCTGGGGACCTGTCCTCCATCTCCTAAGTAATCTGAAGGCAGGGCCTGACCTGACTTTTTTCTCAGGGTCTGGCTCAGTAGAGAAGCTGATCTGTTTTAGGGGGATGAGTGGGGGCCTGGCAGCCTTATGACCCTCTCTTTTGCCTGCAGCCAAGGGGGAGATTCTAGGCTGCTTTGGTCTCACAGAACCCAACCATGGGAGTGACCCCGCTGGCATGGAGACCAGAGCTCGCCATAACCCATCGAGCAAAAGTTATACCCTCAATGGGACAAAGACATGGTGAGGGGCCTGGGCTAAGGGTGGTCGGGAGCGAGGGACAGCAGCCAGACTCCTCACTGACCTTTCTGCCCCAAGGATCACCAATGCACCTGTGGCTGACCTGTTCATAGTATGGGCTCGTTGTGATGATGACCGCATCCGGGGCTTTCTGCTGGAGAAGGGCATGCGTGGTCTGGCAGCCCCCAAGATCGAGGGCAAGTTCTCCTTGCGGGCCTCATCCACTGGGATGATCATCATGGATGGCGTGGAGGTGCCCGAGGAAAATGTGCTGCCCAATGTGTCCGGCCTGGCGGTGAGTGGCCTGCACTGTGGGCTCTGGTGTTGGGTCACTTGCTGGTTCACTTTCCTCAGGCAGGGACCACATGGATGAGACCCCTGAGCTTCTGGCCCAGTACATAGTAGGGCCGCCGAAGCTCAGCTCAACCTCTTGAACCTAAGTACCAGGCCCAGTACCAGGCCCAGGGTCTGAACTGGATAGAACCGTGTGCAAAACCAGTGGCAGTGACTCACACCTATAAAACCTAACTACTCAGGAGGCTGAGATCTGAGGACCACAGTTTGAAGCTAGCCCAGGCAGGAAAGTTCATGAGACATTTATATCAATGAACCACCAAAAAGCCAAAAGCAAAGCTGTGGCTCAAGTGGTAGAGTACTAGCCTTGAGCAAATGAGCTAAGGGATAGAACCCAGGCTCTGAGTTCAAGCCCCAGCACACACACACACACACACACACACACACACAGAGTCTTTCCACCATCCTGAGGTTCTGCAGCTAGGCTGTGTGTGATTTAAATGGCCAGGTCCCCTTGTGTGGGGTGTGTGGGAGGAGGTGTCTCCTGCATCGGAGTTTCTGCAGTGCCTCACCCTGTCTCCTACCCACCCTGCAGGGACCGTTCGGCTGCCTCAACAACGCTCGATTTGGTATCACATGGGGTGTGCTGGGAGCTGCAGAGTTCTGTTTGCACACTGCCCGCCAGTACACCCTAGATAGGTGTGTGTGGGCTTCTGCAGGTGCTTCTGGGGGTAGGGTTCTGGGGTACCCTACCTGTATCCCAATGATTCTCCAGTCCCCATCACCCGACTTAAGCGCCCTGTTCCGTGAAGTGGTCCTGAGCGCTGAGGGCTGGGTGAGCCATGGGCTGGTGTGAACTGAGGGGCAGCCTGGGAACAGAGGAGAGGGCCGCCTTCCAGACTTCATCCGACCTCGCCCATCTAGGATGCAGTTTGGCGTCCCCTTGGCCAGGAACCAGCTGGTGCAGAAGAAGCTGGCGGACATGCTCACTGAGATCACGCTGGGCCTCCATGCCTGCCTGCAGCTTGGCCGCTTGAAAGACCAAAACAAGTAGGGGCCACGTGGGGGAGGGGCTGTCAGGAGTGCCCCCTGGCCCTCCTTGGAGCTCCTTCCCAGCTGCTGGCCCACCCGGGGACCCACGCTTCTCCTACTGAATGGGCCCTCATCGGGAACCCCTCTTTCACTGGGTCTGCTCAAGCCAGAGAGAACAGTGTTTGTTACATATATGTTACCTCCAGGGCCACCCCGGAAATGATCTCCCTGCTCAAGAGGAATAACTGTGGGAAGGCCCTGGACATCGCCCGCCAGGCCCGAGACATACTGGGGGGGAATGGGATTTGTGATGAGTATCACGTGATCCGACACGCCATGAACTTGGAGGCTGTGAACACCTATGAAGGTAGGGGCCACAACCTGGGCCGGGGGGGGGGGGAGGACAGCAGGTAGGGCTGGGGACATGTAGAGAGCTACTTCTGTGATCACCTAGTGATGGTGTGGCCTAGGGCAAGTCACTCACAGGGCCTGTAGGAGTGAAGGGTTCCAATGAGACTCACATGGTGCCCCAGCCCTCTCTCTCTGCCCTTCCCTGGGACTGAGGGACCGCTGCTGTGGACCAGCATGAGAGTCACCATTCCAGTTCATGTGCAGAGAAGGAAAAACACTTGCAGACTGTGGCATTTACACCTCGCAGCTGATGCTGATTCACACCGAGGTCCTAACTGGCTTGGGGAAGACAGATGTGGAAAAAGATCCTTAGAAAGGAAAGGAAGTCCTGGTACCAGTGGCATCATGCCTGTAATCCTAGCTACTCAGGAGGATGAGATCTAAGGATCGTGGTTCAAAGCTAACCTGGGCAAGAAAGTCTGTGAGACTCATGTCCAATTAACCACCAGAAAACTGCAAGTGGTGCTGTGGCTCAAGTAGTAAGAGTGCTCACCTTGAGCTAAAGAGCTCTTAGGCCCATAGTTCAAGCCCCACAACTGTCTAAAAAAAGAAAGAAAAGGCCAGGTGGAGCTGGGAACGTAGCTCAGTGGTAGAGTACTTGCCTTGCATGCATGAGGCCCTGGGTTTGATTCCTCAGCACCATATAAGCAGAAAAAGCAAGAAGTGGCGCTGTGGCTCAGTGGTAGAGGGCCAGCCTTGAGCTGAAGAGCTGAGGGGCAGTGCTCAGGCCCAGAGTTCAAGCCCCACAACCAACCAAAAAAAGAAAAAAGAAAGAAAGAAAGAAAAGGCCAGGTATGGTTACAAACATGCCTGTAATTTCTATTACTTGGGAGGCAGTGGTAGAAGAATCAAGATCCAAGCAAAAGCACTAAATTCTATCTGAAAAATAAAAATATAAAGGACTGGAGGTGTGGCTCAAGTGAAAGAACACTGGTGGCGAGCATGCCAGAGGCCTTAAATTCAATCTCCAGTGAGGGAAGAGGGGCTGGAAAGAAAAGGTCAATCTGGTGTGAGCCATGCAGATAGAGGGAGATAGTAGCTCCGCTGACAGAGAGGCTTCTAGACAGACCAAGCACAGACAGGGGATGTCTTTCTATGAGGCTCAATGACAAGGGCCCCACAGCCCTATATTGTTTCTGTTAGGCCACTAGGTGGAGCATGCCAGAGGTACTGAGAGGGGTGTGTGGGAGAATGGTATGCAGGGAGGATGGCCAGAGGGCTGGGCAGAGGAGGGCTTGGGAAGTAGAGGGAGCTGTGTGACTAAGGGGAGGCCTATTTCCTGGAAGTAGGGGAGACAGGCGGAAACACTAGGGTGGCTCTGGGATAGACTGATTCAGGATGGGGAGTCAGCAATCATGGTTTGTGGACTGTTTGCTCTCCCAGCCCTCAGGTAGTTTAAAAAACAAACAAAAAAGCCATCATGAGGGCAGGGGGCATGGCTCGAGTGATGGGGAGCTTGAGTCCAGGGGTGCCAAGGGGAAAAAGCAAAGGTACCATAACGTCTGCAGGTGTGTGATCTCACATCTCTGTAGAAGGCAGGATCCCAGGGTTGGGAAGCAAACGTTTAATCATCTACAGGTGTGGCCAGATGAGCTAGGGTCGCTTAGCAGGACCGAGGGCAGGGGGAGACCAGTTGCAATCTGGGGTATAGTGCAAACAACGTGAGTGTTTGGGTTTTCCAAGTTGTGTTACAGAACTGTAAAAAGAATCTTCTCACTGGGCTCTGGTGGCTCACGCCTGTCATCCTAGCTACTCAGAAGGCTGTGATGTGAGGATCATGGTTCAAAGCCAACCTGGGCAGGAAAGTCTGAGACTCTTATCTCCGATGAACCACCAGAAAACTGGAAGTGGTGCTGTGGCTCAAGTGGTAGAGCATTCACCTTGAGCTGAAGAGCTGAGGGACAGCGCTCAGGCCCAGAGTTCAAGCCCCGAGACCAACCAAAAAAAAAAAAATCCTAGCATGGCCTGACTGGTGATGGACCAGGTTCCTCCTGGCAGCCCTCACTAAGATGTGACTTGCCCTCAGCCCTCAGTAGAGGCCATCTTTGTTGGTCTGTTCTTCTAAAGTGACAGCCTAAGGAACAGGAAGACTAACTTTATTTAGTTTTTTATTTATTTGGTGTGGTACTCAGGATAGAACTGAGGGCCTCCCTCTGTGAGGGACGTGCTCTACCACTCGAGCCACACATAGCCCTACACAGCCCTTGAAGACTGACTTAGTAGGCAGTTATGAACTGTGAAGACTCCAAACCAGGCTCAACCTGTAATCCTAGACAGGAGGCTGAGATCTGAGGATCGAGGCTCACAACTAGCCCAGGCAGGAATGTCGAGGAGATTGCATCTAATTAACCAGCAAAAACCTGCAAGTAGAGCTGTGGCTCAAATGGAAAAGCACCAGCAGTGAGGGAAAAAGCCAAGTGAGAGTTCTGCACGGCATGGACTCTCACCTGGCTTCCTAATCTCATGCAGGTACACACGATATCCACGCGCTCATCCTTGGCAGAGCAATCACAGGAATTCAGGCATTCACGGTTGGCAAGTAAATTCACTTCAGAGTGCCTGGATGTTCCAAAGCCCCTTCCTGAAGAGACCCTGGCGGGAGCCTGGGCCCCCTGTGCTCTAAGTTTAATTAGGAATATGGCAGATGGACCTGATTGTTTGGTGAGAAGGGAGAGAACGAGATATATATATATCCCCTCCCGGGGTCATGGGGCTTGAACTCTGGGCCTGGGTGCTGTCCCTCAGCTCTTTAGCTCAAAGTGAGTGCTCTACCACTTGAGCCACAGCACCACTTCCAGTTTTCTGGTGTTTTATTGGAGATAAAGAGTCTCGTGGACTTTCCTGCCCAGGCTGGCTTTGAACCACAATCCTCAGAGCTCAGCCTCCAGAGTAGTTAGGATGACATGATGAGCCATCAGTGCCTGGCTCACTATTTTTAAATATGGAAATTAACAACGGAAAGGCATTCGTCTATGCCCCTTCAGAAGAAGACAAGATCTGTTTCTGGATCCATTTGTAAGGCGATGAGCTGACTTCACCCTCCAGTTTCTTGGCTGGGGAGCAGGGAGAGGGGAAGTACACTGGAAGTACTCCTGGGAGACCTGGCCCCAGCAGGCCCCTAGGTGGCGCCACCCGCCACCTTCCCTCCCCAGCCAGGCCTTGTTCATGCTGGTTTCTGGGGCAGGACAAAAGAAAGAAAAATAAAGAGCTTGTGCATCTGACCACAAGATGTGGACACATTTACTTGTTACTACTGGGCAGCAGTTTCACGGGTGTTCCACAGGACAGACAAACACGCTGGGGGCCATGGCCCCTGTCTGGCGTCTTCTGCCCTGCGGGGATGGGCATAGCTGGGTGAAGCACTGCCCAGGCCTCAGGGCTGCGGGCAGCGGGAGCAGTCTCTTCTGACTGATACGATGGATGCTGTGCTTCTGTCACCGCTCAGCTGACCACAGACGAGGAGAAATGACAACTGTTTTGCTTTTTGGCTCAACATACCATCTATGCTGGGATCCCCAAACCAGATGGCAGGGGCAGCGAGGGCTTTGCAGGGACTGTGGCCCCTAGGGTTGGGTCTGGTGGTGAGCTCACTAGTGCTTCTCAGTGACACGGTGACAGGGCGTAAGCTTAGTATGCGTGAGACCCTGGGTTCCATCCCCAACACTGCCAAACAAACAAAAACCCGGAGGAAGAGATAGTGAAGATGTCAGTTTGTGGTCAGCCCTGGTAAAATGTTCAAAAGATAACTGTAACAAAGAATAAGCCTAAGCACTGGCAGCTCACACCTGTCATCCTAGCTACTCAGGCTGCTGAAATCTGAGGATCATGGTTTGAAGCCAGCCTAGCCAGGAAAAGTTTTGAAACTCTTGTGTCCAATTAATCCCAGGAAACCAGAAATGGAGCCTGTGGCTCAAGTGGTAGAGCACTAGCCTTGACCAGAAAGGCTCAGGGACAGCTCCTGAATCCTAAATTCAAGTCCCATGACTAACAAAAAGTAACAAAAATAAATAAATAAGGTAGAGCTGGGCTTCAAGGCACACACCTGTCATCCTAACTATGTGGAAAGTATAAACAGGAGGATTACAACCCACACCCTATTCAATAAATAAAAACGGGGGGGGGGCTGGGAAGGTGGCTCAGTGGTAGAGCGCTTGCCTTGCATGCCTGAGGCCCTGGATTCAATTCCTCAGCACCACATAAGCAAAAAGAAAAAGCCAGAAGTGGTGCTGTGGCTCAAGTGGTAGAGCGCTAGCCTTGAACTGAGGAGCTGAGGGACAGGGCCCAGGCCCAGAGTTCAGGCCCCACGACCGGACCCATAAAATAAATAAGAATGGCTAGGGGCTGGGAAGGTGGCTCAGTGGTAGAGTGCTTGCCTTGCATGCATGAAGCCCTGGGTTCAATTCCTCAGCACCACATAAGCAGAAAAAACTGGAAGTGGTGCTGTAGCTCAAGTGGTCAAGCGCTAGCCTTGAGCTGAATTGCTGAGGGACAGCACCCAGGCCCAGAGTTCAGGCCCATGACTGACAAAAAAAAAAAAAGAATGGCTAGGAGAATGGCTAAAGTAGTAGAGCATCTGCCTAGCACATGTGAGGCCCTAAATTCAAACCTCAATGCTATAATCCTGAGATCTGAGGATTGCAGTTTAAAACCAGCCTGGGCAGAAAGTCCATGAGACTCTTATCACCAGTTAATCACCAAAAAGCTGGAAGTGGAGCTGTGGCTTAAGGGATAGAGTACCAGCAGCTGTGTGCAAGAAACACCAGTCCCCAAGTTCAAGCTTCAAGACTGGCACATACCCACACACAAAAAGTCCTTGGTTTCTGTTTATATTTACTCCCAGTAAAGCATCCCAAGTCCCCTGCCTCAGACACCCAGCCACACCCCATGAGAAGGTGGCTCTTACCTCAGGCTGGACACACAGGTCGTTGTACATGGTCTCCACCGTGTGGCAGACTTCTCTGAGCTCTGTCTCCAATTGGCTAATCTTTTCAATTTTCTGGGTAAATTCTTGGAGCCGTTCCTGAATGATCTTGCTGTGTTGGTTGTAAGCCTGGTACATCCTCTCCTCTAACTTCTCTGTCAGATCCGAGACCTTTCAAAGAATGAGTGATCTTAGAAGGTCAAAAACCTCTTTTTGATCACCAGATTTGTTTTAAGTGGATTTCTTTTCTGTATGTTATTAAAACGGTACAAAGAACTCCATTGACTGACAGTAAAATTGCCTACATTTCAATTGTTTTTGCTTTTGGTTGTGCTGAGGTGTGAACTCAGGATCTCTCGATTTCTTGTTTGCTCTGCTGGCCCGCTACTATCTGAACCACACCTCCAGCCCAACATTCTGCTGGTTTATTGAAATGGAGTCTTATGTACTTTTTGGCTAGGCTGGCTTCAAACCACAAACCTCTAGATCTCAGCCTCCTGAGTAGCTGGGATTTCAGGTATGAGCTACTGGTGCCTGGCTTCTTTCCCTTTAAGGAATACCTCCCCTCCCACTCGGTGGAGTCCTTCACCTTAATCTTGAGGCTGTCTCGGAAGTTGGCCATGAGTGCGAGGTCCTTCTGCCTGCTTTCGTTGATGTTTTCAATAAGCTCCTGGGCTCTCTTCTTCAGGATTTCAATGCTGGATTCCAGAGAGGAGAAGTAGGGTCCTGACTTTCCCTCCAGCACCCCCTGGCGGTTGGTACTGGAATTGGAGATACAAGGGTAGGAACCTGACTTCTAAAAGGGCATGGCTTAGAGGTCCGCACTCGATGTTCTGAGACCCCTTCTTGGTCAGTGTGTACTTAAAATGCAGAAGGTCCTGGGTTGCATTCCCTGGAACTTCCCCCTCCCCGCCCCACCTGCTGCCAAAAAAAGTGGCGATCTGCCAGGCACCATTGGCTCACGCCTGTAATCTTTGCTACTCAGGAGACTGAGATCTAAGGATCAAGGTTCAAAGCCAGCCGGGGCAGGAAAGTCTATGAGACTCTTATCTCCAATAAACCACTAGAAAACCGGAAGTGGAGCTGTAACTGAGAGTGCTAGAGTGCTAGCCTTGAGCCAAAAAAGCTCAGGGCTGGGGCTGGGAATGTGGCTCAGTGGTAGAGTGCTTGCCTTGCATGCAGGAAGCCCTGGGTTAATTCCTCAGCACCACATAAGCAGAAAAAGCTGGAAATGGGGCTGGGAAGGTGGCTCAGTGGTAGAGTGCTTGTCTTGCATGCATGAGGCCCTGGGTTCAATTCCTCAGTATCACATAACCAGAAAAAGCTGGGAGTGGCACTGTGGCTCAAGTGGTAGAGTGCTAGCCTTGAGCTGAAGAGCTGAGGGACAGCGCCCAGGCCCAGAGTTCAGGCCCCACGACCAACAAAAAAAAAAAAAAGCTGGAAGTGGTGCTGTGGCTCAAGTGGTAGAGCACTAGCCTTGAGCTGAAGAGCTGAGGCACAGCACCTAGGCCCAGATATCAGGCCCACGACAAGCAAAAAAAATAAAACCCAAAAACAGAAAAAGCTCAGGGACAGTGCCCAGGCCCTGACTTCAAGCCCCAGGACACACTCACATAAACAAGATCTGTCAGATACCCGAGGCCACTGTTGTTTTATATCAACTTGCTTCTTTGAAATAAGCATAAATAATGCAGACTGACCAACCAAAATATCTGTCATACAAACACAAACACCTCCACTCAACCAAAGGTCTCCCTCATGCAGCCACTTCCCCTCATCCCTATGACAGCCAAGATTGTAGAAAAAGAAATCTACATATCCTAAGACTATTCTACCTCTGATTGTATCTCAGCATGTGGGTAAGAAAGCTTTCAAATAAAACAGTTCCTGCACCTGGACATTGGTGGCTCACGCCTGTCATCCTAGCTACTCAGGAGGCTGAGAGCTGAGGATCACAGTTCAAAGCCAGCCTGGGCAGGAAAGTACGTGAGACTCTTATCTCCAATAAACCATCAGAAAACCAGAAGTTGCACTGTGGCTCAAGTGGTAGAGTGCTCGCCTTGAGCTGAAGAGCTGAGGGACAGCGCCCAGGCCCAGAGTTCAGGCCCCACGACCAGCAAAAAAAAAAAAAAGCTGGAAGTGGTGCTGTGGCTCAAGTGGTAGAGCACTAGCCTTGAGCTGAAGAGCTGAGGCACAGCACCTAGGCCCAGATATCAGGCCCACGACAAGCAAAAAAAATAAAACCCAAAAACAGAAAAAGCTCAGGGACAGTGCCCAGGCCCTGACTTCAAGCCCCAGGACACACTCACATAAACAAGATCTGTCAGATACCCGAGGCCACTGTTGTTTTATATCAACTTGCTTCTTTGAAATAAGCATAAATAATGCAGACTGACCAACCAAAATATCTGTCATACAAACACAAACACCTCCACTCAACCAAAGGTCTCCCTCATGCAGCCACTTCCCCTCATCCCTATGACAGCCAAGATTGTAGAAAAAGAAATCTACATATCCTAAGACTATTCTACCTCTGATTGTATCTCAGCATGTGGAAATAAGCATAAATAATGCAGACTGACCAACCAAAATATCTGTCATACAAACACAAACACCTCCACTCAACCAAAGGTCTCCCTCATGCAGCCACTCATCCCTATGACAGCCAAGATTGTAGAAAAAGAAATCTACATATCCTAAGACTATTCTACCTCTGATTGTATCTCAGCATGTGGGTAAGAAAGCTTTCAAATAAAACAGTTCCTGCACCTGGACATTGGTGGCTCACGCCTGTCATCCTAGCTACTCAGGAGGCTGAGAGCTGAGGATCACAGTTCAAAGCCAGCCTGGGCAGGAAAGTACGTGAGACTCTTATCTCCAATAAACCATCAGAAAACCAGAAGTTGCACTGTGGCTCAAGTGGTAGAGTGCTCACCTTGAGCTGAAGAGCTGAGGGACAGCACCCAGGCCCAGAGTTCAAGACCCACAACCAACAACAACAAAAAAAGCTGCGTGGCACACTGTAGCTCATCAGCAACACTGTTAACCACCCTCCCCTGCCAGTCCCAACACCTGACCTCAAGGCTTGCTCAGGCCTCTGCTGTCTTCCTTTTACATCCAGGGTCCTGATCCTGGATACTCTGACACCCTTGCTCTTCATCAAGGCTCTGCCCAACTCCCACCTCTTCCCTCCATACCGCCCCCACCCCCAGCTTCATTCCCTCTGCCTCTCCTTTCTCCAAAGGATCTTTATAGTATAGGGTGATATCTATCTCTATAGATTTACATGTACATCTGTTCATATCTTTGTGTGTTTGCCCATCCTGGGCTTGAACTCAGGGCCTGGGCACTGTTCCTGAGCTTTTGTGTTCAAGGCTAGCACTTGACTACTTTGAGCCACACCTCCATTTTTCTTTTTTCTTTTTTTTGGATCTGAAAAAAAAAATAAGGAATGCTTCAGAATTTGTGTCATCCTTCATGCAGAGTCCTCTCTAATCTTCTCTGGATAGCTCCAGTTTTAGTATATGTGCTGCTGAAGTGAGTACCCAGCTTTTTTTTTTTTTGGTAGTTAACTGGAGATGTTAAACTGGAGATGTTTGAGCTCAGGCTCCTGAGTAGCTAGGATTATAGGCATGAGCCACTAACTCTGGCTATATATCTATTTTAAGGGGGGCTAGGAATGGAAACCAGGTCCAGCAAATACAAGTGCTGTACCATTTAGCCATACTAACAGCCCCCCCTTTTTGTAAAGATAGATTCTCAAGCTGGTCTTGAACTTGCTATATAACCCATGCTGGCCTCAAACTTGAGATTCTCCTGAGTGCCCAGAAAATGCCAGAACCATAAGCATGTGCCCCTACAACTACCCCTCACAGGATCAAGCTTGAATATCTTCACAAAGCAGAAAAGGCCTTCCAGGATCAAGACCTACATCCTCTTTCTGGTCTGTTTTATTTCATTGGTGCTGAGATTCCAGCTCGGGGCTTCCCGCATGCTAGCCAAGTGTGTGGCCCCTTAGCCATGTCCTCAGCCTGGCCTTGTTGTGTCCTCCTTCTGTCTCCAGCAATCTGCCACCTTCACAACATCCCTAACTTATTAGCCGTCAGCTGGGGTGATGTTCCCTTTCTGTCTCCTTCACAACAAAGCAGCTGTCTACCTTCTCCTAACTGCCCCCTCTTCAACTGGCCAGGAAGCTGTCACCGTTTCTGCGTTTCAGCCCCCTCCCCCAGTACCCACAGGCTGAGGGCGGGGCTGCATTCTGCTCAGCCAGGCTGCTTAGTACCCCAAAGGCATCATAAGTATTTGCCGAGTCAAAATGAACGAGCCACTGCCAGGCTGGTACCGTTAATCCTGCTCACACACCTTGCAGTTTCCCTTTTGTCTCAACCTCTCCGACACCCCCACCCCCCAGAATTTTAGAACCCCGAAATTCAAATCAATGAGATCACGGTGTCATTGTCCACAACCTGTGTGAGCTGCCACTGGCTCTGAGACCTTCCTTCCTAAGGCTCCAAGAATGGCAGCTTTGCAAATGGTGGAAAATCATTCGAATTCAATCAATTTATATCTCATGGTGGGACAAAAGCCTGCATCGGATGTCTGCTGAGAGCTTATGTTTTTTCCAGCCTTTCCTCTGGGGGTTTCATCCTTCCTGTTTCATTTTTCATAATGCTCAGCAGCTGCATATGAATGGTAATGATTCATAGGCTTCCCTGGGTCTGCATTCCCCAATTAGCTTTAATAAACAAAATGTGTGGTATCCTCGCCACTGGCTTCCCCAGCTCCTGGGCCAGGTTCTGTTGCCAAATCCTGGCCTGAGGCCTGATGTGGAAGAAGCCCAACACCGTGTGCCTAGTGTGTCTGACCTGCAGGGGGCACAGCATGGGGTGTGGGCTATTACACACCAGTCCACATTCATCCATTCTGTGTGTCCTTCTATGAAGTCCCTAGCTGCGAGGATTAGGACAGTTTCCCAAGCAGGACCCAGGCTGGCAGGGCCCCAGAAAATGGTCTAAGTGAAGAGACCATCTGTTCTCTCCAGGTAAAGCTGTGATTGGCAGGCGTGGGAGCCAAAGCTACCCGCTGCTGGGGCCAGCCCTCCCTCCCTCCCTCCGTGGGCTCTAACAGTGATAAACAAGTAAACAATCTGCCAGCCACTTATGACCATGGGGGCAGAAGGCCCAGGAGGAGAGGATCTAATCAAACTTGCAGGAGAAGCAGAGCAGAATCTCTGGCTCTTGGGCAAGGTGATGTTGTGCAAGTGCAGCCAGGAGGGGGAGGTTTGATTCTGAGTGGCTGAGCCTGTTTCCATCTCTATTCCCTCTCCAGAAATGTGCTAACGCTTTAATCATGCTGCTGAGTATCTGCTCAGCATCTGTTAACTGGCCAAACACTGATCTTCCCCCATATGCATTAGGTTCCTGTGGAGTGTCTTGAAGACTCTAATGATTAGCAATGGTCAGTCTCTGCCACACAGCTGCAATAAGATTATCAAACAAACGTTCCTCCCCTTTCTCTGATCTATGATGGACAGCACACACCTAGAATCCATTCCAACCTGTGGCTTGCTTTTCAGCCAATGAATGGGGGAGACAAAGGGACGCTGACTCTCTGTCTGGAGGCCCCAGGGTCCTGTCCTCAACCTCTGCTCTCTCTCTCTCAGCAGCTCTCATCCATTGCCACCACAGTGACCCCCACCATGACAGCTCTAGTCCTTCCTGAATTTGGCTCCAGAAATTCTCACTTGGGCCAGGCAGTCATG